AATCCGCTGCATTTACATATGAATTGCATTATCTGTGTAAAAGATGCATCTCTAAATATCTGAGAGAAATTCTAGACCACCCAAAATATATTTATGAAAGTTTCAACAAGTCTTGACCATCAAGAAGTTTCTGAGAACCTTATGGTCTTTGCTATTCCTGTGAGAATAAACTATCTCTTCACCGTAATAGCAAAAGCCTTTCACTGTTAACACAAAATCTATTCGGGTTTTAGCCTTGTATTCATATTATCCTACTCAGTGAATTGCCTTGTAAATATTACAATAACCCATCACTTGCTCTGACACCCCACAATTAGGAGACCTAAGAACGGCCATTTTCTTATCATACCAATCCCCAAAGTATTTGCACCAGGTTGTAAGCCAGCTCCAGTGATTATCCAAATTCATTTGATGCCATTTCTTCCTGGATAATTCCCAAGGCACTACTTGGTGCCCTGGTATCTTCCCGATTCTTTTTGGAGAGGTACCTTCCTTACAGATTTCAGTTAGAGATCCTTAAGGATCCTTTTTACAAAATGCTAACACGTCACTAAGTTATATATAAAAGACTACCTAGACCAAACATCGAGATGTGTCGACTGGCATATATTTTCCTCACATGACTATAGTTATGGAGAGGATAGGAATAGTTTTCCCCCTTCTATTTAGTATTTAATTCAAGGATTCATGATTTCAATTGAGTGTGTAGCTACCCCTTCACATTTGAGTAATTGAGGAAAATAAAGTATGTCCTTCAAGGGGTATGCCTAGTGGTTGGCAACAGGTAGAGAAACAGATGGGTGGCAACAGAGCCTAGGGAAAGAGTGGTAGAAACCAGAACTTGGAAGGTCTCTGGGCATTTTTGTTCTTACATCAGGGAAATCATATCTAAAGACTGTAAAGCTCTACACACTTGCCTGGGCCCTGAAAACCTGATCAGTAAGATGTAGGAGGCATTATTTTAGATCCATTAGGATTGTCAGTCATCAAAAACATCAAATAGTGCTACGTGCCACTGCTACCCAGCCCCCCCTACAAATATCAGGAAGCAACAAGTCAAAATAGGACTTGTGGTGGGGAAAGGTCTGTGCCAGAGAAGCTTTCATAGCCCTTTAAAAATATTTTATTTTTTCCCTAATTACATGTAAAAATAATTTTATATAATTACTTATATCATATTTATATTTATTTACATATATTTGTAACATAGTATATTTATTTATTAAAAATATAATATATTTATATAATTTTTATAATATAATTTTTTTTTAAATTTTGAGTTCCAAATTCTTTCCCTTCCTCCCTTGATTCCCTCCTCATTGAGAAGGCAAGCAATTTGATATAGGTTATACAGGTGGAGTCATGTAAAACACATTTCCATATTAGTCATGTTGTAAAAGAAAATATAGATAAGAAAGAAAAAGAAAGAAAGAAAGAAAGAAAGAAAGAAAGAAAGAAAGAAAGAAAGAAAGAAAGAAAGAAAGAAAAAAGAAAGAAAGAAAAAAGAAAGACTAAAAAAACATTTCCTTCAATCTGCATTCAGATTCCAATTAGTCCTTTCTCTGGAAATGGACTTTTTTTTCCATCATAGATCCTTTGGAATTGTCTTGGACCATTGTCTTTATCAGAGTAGCCAAATTTTTCAAAGTTGATCATCATACAATATTGCTGTTACTGTATACAATGTTCTCCTGGTTCTGCTTACTTCACTTTATATATATCAGTTCATGTAAGTCTTTCCAGGTTTTTCTGAAAGCATCCTGTTTGTAATTTCTTACAGCACAAAAGTATTCCATCACCACCATATACCACAACTTGTTCAGCCATTTCCCAATTGATGGGCATCCTCACAATTTTGCCACCACCAAAAGAACTGCTATGATTTTTTTTGGGATACGCTATGAGTTATACTGCTAGGTCAAAAGGCAAGCTTCAAAGCACTTTGGGCATAGTTCCAAATTGTTTTCAAAAATGGTTGAATCAGTTTACAATTCTACCAATGGTGCTTTAGTGTCCCAATTTTCCCACATCATCCTCTCTTACATTTGTCATTTTCCCTTTCTGTCATATTAGCTAATCAGATAAATGTGAAGTGGTATTTCAGAATTTTGTTTTGTTTTGTTTTGTTCTAAATTTTCATTTCTTTAATCAATAGTGATTCCCATCTTTTTTTATATGACTATAGATAGCTTTGATTTCTTCATCTGAAAACTACCTGTTCATGTTTTGTAACCATTTATAAATTGGGGGACTTATATTCTTATAAATTTAACTCAGTTCTCTATGTATTTTACAGATGAGGACTTTATCAGAGAAACTTACTATAAAAATGTTTCCACAATCACAATGTTTCCACTGTTGTGATTGTTAACTATTTCCCTCCATCCTATTTTTCCCCATTTATCCTCTCTCCTTTCATCCTGTCCCTCCTCAAAAATGTTTTGGTTCTGACTACTACTCCCCTCAATTCATCCTCCCTTCTCTCAGTCCCACCACACCCCTTCTTTTATTCCCTTTCCCTCCTAATTCCCTGTAGGATAAGATATATTTTCTATATCGAAGTAACTGTATATGTTATTCCCTCTGAGCCAGTTCTGGTGAGAGTAAGGTTCAAGCATTTTCTGCCACCTTCCATCTTTCCCTCCAGTGTTAAAGTTCTTTCATACTTCTTTTATGTGAGATAATTAGCCCCATTCAACCTCTCCCTTCCGCCTTCTCTCCAGTGGATCTGTCTTTCATATGATGAAAAAAAGTTTTGTGTTTTATCTTCCCTATTACCATAAAAACTTTCTATGGTTATGCTCTTTTTTTTGTTGTTTGCTTATTTGTTCCTGGAGTAGGAGGGGCACAGTCCCAAACTTCAGATTTTTTCATGCTGCTTTTAAAACACTAGTTCTCGGGGTCTGTATGTTTTCAGTTCTTTCAGGGTGGGTGATCTAAGAAAAGGTGTGGTCACTGCTTTTCTGGTCTGTGCTCTGGCTTGTGAGCTACCAAAAGCCCTCTTCTCTGCCCTGAAATCCTGACCAGGGCTCCTCTATCCCCATGTCTACAGGCTTGAGTGTGCCAGTGCCCCTCCTCCTTGTCCTGGGACTGCAACCTGAAACGATGTGTGGGCAATACAACAGAGTCCTAAACACAGTGCCAGCTAAGGGTTCCCTGTAATCTCCTTCTCACCAGTTTCTGATCACTTATGCTCTGGGCTGAGAGTTCCAGAAGCCACTGCTGCTAATTCAGTTGTTCCCAAGGCCCGCTGCCTGTTTGCTAGGGTGTGACGTATACTGGACTGAGTTCCACTTTCACCTCAATGAGACAGACTTTTCCTGCTGAACTTCTAAGTTGTTGTGGGCTAGAAAATTGTTTCACCCCATCCTTTTGTTTGTTCTGCCATTTCCACATTCATTTTGAGGTGCTATTTTAAATTTGTTTGGAAGGGAATTTGGGAGAGTTCAGGCAAGTCCCTGACTTTACTCTGCCATTTTGAAGCTCTAATCATCTTAATTGTGAATGGCTTGAGTTTTACTTCCCATCTTTGGGTCTAGAAGAATGGAGCTCCTTGAGGTTAGGGATCATTCTGTTTGTTTTGTCTGTGTGCTGCACTGTGTCTTACACACTAATTATTTAATATATGTTTAATGTGAAAGTCCTTTTTCAAGGTATTCTCTTTCTGAATGAGAAAGGTAGCTGGATCAATTGAGTTGATGCTCTAATTTGAGTTCCCTGAGAATAAGGAATATCAATTGCTGGCAGGCATCTACATGACTCTACATCCTGACTTGGGGTGGAGGAAGCTAGGGAACCTTGGTGACTTTTGGAGACTATGTCAGAGGCTCCTAGGCAGCTTTCTTTCTAGAGTCTTCTGCTTTTTTGGTCTAGTTAAGAGTATTTTTAATCATACATTTAAATATACATTTCCTCCCCACCCACCCAGGACCCAATATTGTTCACATGCAAACACATAACAATAGAAGAGTAAATACATATCCATTTTTATAACTATGGCTGCTGGGTGGTGCAGTGTATAGAGTGCTGGGCCTAGAGGGTGGAGGACCTGAGTTTGAAATCTGGCCTCAGATATTAGATATGTGAACCTGGGCAAGTCACTTAACCTCTGTTTGTTTCAGTTTCTTCAACTATAAAATAGGGACCCTACAGAAAAAAAAGTCAAACCACTCCAGTATCTTTGCCAAGAAAAACCAATAAAAATGGAGTCACAAAGAGTCAGACACAACTAAATATGACTCAAAAATAATTTTATAGCTATATGAAGAAAAGTTAGGGTGCTGACCCATTAAGCTATCTAAAAGATGAAGGATAGAAGAGACATAAGTGATCCCAAACAATAGGAACTCCCACTTACTTTGGAACAGATTGTTTCTTCGTGGGATAGTAATAGTAGCTCATATTTATAAAAATGCTTTAGAGTTTACAGATTGTTTTCCTCACAACATTTTGTGAGGCAAATAGGACAAGGAGCTTTATTTACATGCAGATAAGGGGCACTTATATTTAGTGAACATAAGTGAGTTGTCCAGGGTTACATAACTATTAAGTGACCAAGTTCAAGTTGGAACCCAGGTCCGTGGTTCATTCTTCTGCTTTATCATTGTGATTTTGTGCAGGAGCCTCATTTTTTCCCCTTCTATTCCATCGAGTTGTATAGAAAAGAAACCTTTCCTTGGTTAGGATCAAGCTTTGAAAATTTTTCTTCTATGTTCCTTTATATTCCCTTCTAAAACTGTTAGAAAAGTCATTATGATTAGATTTTTCATCTTTGGTACATTGAATTTCTGTATGGAATTTTCATTTTCTGGAATTAAATCCAAATATTTGATATTTCCAAAGAAGCTTCTTGTAGCCAGAGTAGAATGTGAATTCACCAGTTGTGCAAACTTCACTGTTGTGCATGAGTTCCCCATTGGTTCATACAATTCATGTGGCTTTTGTTTTCCATTCATGTGACCTCTTATTATATCCGTCATTCCATTTTTCTTTCCTATTAGAGTGAATTTGGACACAGCCCTCCTCCTGCCTACACCCCCATGTCAGGAGTAAGTATTTCACAAACAACCTTCATCTTTTAGGCCGTTTGGCCTTTTGAACGTACCATGTCTGCTCTCCCTTTATCTTCCATAATTTTCCCAATCCCCTCCCAATCCTTTTACCCCTCCCCCTGCCAACAGTGAGTAAGATGCTACAGTCCATTATTTGGACATGTCAACAGATGCTTTTTATCCCAGACTGGAACTCAGTAGAAAACTCAGAGTTCAGGGATATTAGAGATCAGCAATAGCTTTCAGTTTTTATTCAGAGGATTTACTTGAGCTCATAAATTATGCTCTTGAATTAAGGGGCCAGCTTTAGCCCCCAATTCTCGTGTCATGTTCTGGAAAGTAATAATCTGACTATAGCCTTCTAGTATAGTACTAGAGATTGAAAGCCATAGTAGCCTCAGGGAAAGGCAGTGAATAGGGAAACTTCAACTTTAAAACACATCAGCATACTTCTGTTTGTAATTGACAATTGTCTGTAGGCACTGACGCTTTTCTGGAAAAGATTATAACTTCATGCCACAGATAAGCTATTGTGGGAGAAGTACATATAATGTGGTTATTTTTTGTTTTTGCTTTTTTGTTTTTTGCCAGGTCAGGCTTAAGTTGTGTTGAAAAAGCAAAATGGATAGTGTGTCATTACCAGGTATTTTATAAAGGATTCATCATTTAAGGAAAATTATATTTCAGGTGTTTTTAGTCTATATCTTTTTTTTTTCTGAAAGAAGAGCTTTGATAGGCCTTTATGATCTTACTGCTGCTCTTGGTGTTTCTGCTATTCCTATCATCACCTCCTCTCAAAATGTCTTTTTGCTTTTCACAGAACCAATTTGTGTATAGAGATGGGGGCTTTGCTACAGAACAAGGAGTATCTGTGCCATACAGGGCCACCAGCTGTATAATCCCTGAAGCCCCTGTTGTACAAGGGGCCACAGCGGAGATTTTTGATGACACGTGTTGTAATGGCACTCTGCGCAAACAAGTGGCACCCCTTGTCCAGGAGGACAGCAGCACCCAAAGATATAGTGCTGACCCCACAGTATTTGCAGCAGAACGGAGCCCACGAGGAGAAATGGATGAAGATGGGTATATGACTCCAATGCGTGACAAGCCCAAACAAGGTATATATAATTGGGATCTCTGGGACAGAAAATCTTAGTTATATTGATGTCATTCTTAATCATACATAACACCTGATGAATAATGGACGGAATCATTGAGTAGTATATTCTTTACCCTGAAAAGGCATTGTGAGATACAAATTGGATAGTATCTCAAAATTAATACCTTGTTTGTCAGTTGACAAGGATTTGGCCAATATACTTTTGATTGATGATGTAGAAGTACATTTTTTTATTGTAGTGAAAACATTCATTTGTGGATTGAAGTTGTAAGCATTTAGCAAAGCTAGAAATGGCCTTGTGTAAATCACTTAACCCTTAGTGTGCCACAAAACTCTTTGATGCTACAAACTTCAGAGGAGGTATTCATCTGGATGAGTAGAGAAAGTTCTTCAACCAAAGGCACCTAGCCTAGCTAATTTCATTAGCAATGAAATTAAAGGTCCAGTTGAAAAAAGAAAAGAAATGAAGAGTAATTGGACCTGTCCAACTTGAGTATACAAATATGAGAAATTTTAATTCCTTAAAATCACATTTAAAAATTAAAATTCTAAACTCTGTCCTAAGGAAATAGAACGGGGAACATTTTCTTTTACACCACAGCAGTAGTTTGTAGTTGGGAGGCTAATCAAGAATTTTGAAATGTTTGTTGTGCAGAGTCTTTCCTTTTTGAAAATGGAAAGATTTGATCAGATGTTGCCAAATGCTTACATTTCGGGCTCCCTTATTTAACTTTAACTGGATGGCCTATTTTTCAAACACTTCCGACTTTATATACAAGATCTTAGAAATATTGATCAGAGCTAGAAGGGATCTCAGAGTCCAATCTAGTCCAATCCCTTCATTATACAGGTGAGGAAACTGAGGGTCATAGAGCTTAAGTAACTTATTCAAAGTCACATAGGTGCCAAGTGGCAGAGCCAAGGAGATTGAATTCAAGACTTGTGACTCCAAGTTCAGTTCTCTGTCCCACTGTGAAACATAATACATATATGTATGTATGTATATATGTATATATATATATATAATGCACACACATATATATGTAAATATATATATACATAAATATCTATATCATCAAAGCAGAAAGTTACAGAAGAGTCAAAAATCTTGAGCTCAATAGCAAAATTAATTAAAAGTTTTAAGATAAGAAAAAGCCTCCTAAAAACAAGAGAATAATACAATCTTAGCTGAATTAAGTTTATCTTTCCCTTCCTTAAGATTTAATCATGCAAATATTATAACATGTAGTCAAACAGAAATATAAATCACTTTTTTTCAAAGGTAGTATAAAGCTTTTCAAGGTAGAGAACAATACATGAAAATAGACTAGAATACAATTGCATGGGTGTGATGTTTGTGGTGAAATGGACAGAGGCTACTCCATACCCACTACTAAAATTAGCCCCATACCATGAGAGAACCCAGAATGTCCTCAAGCTATTGCACCATTAACCCTTTTCCTCCATGCCCCCCCCAAAAAAAAAACCTGGGACCTACCTTAGGTAGGTCTTTTCAAGTTTTCAAATCATAAAAGACTCTTAGCAGTAAATATCATATTTGCTTTGAAATAAAAGTTTTCAACCTATGCTCTATTTTATTTGCTTGTGGACAAAAAAAAAAGTGTAGTATTTCAGTTGATGCAGATTGGTCCTTTGAAATATTCTTAAATTCTGGTCCAGAATTTAAAAGCCAGATACCACACAGATTAAGAGGTTGAGTGTATTTCAAGAGTCTCATTGTGATTTTTTTAAGGCCTACACCATGAGTAAACCAACTAAGCTATCCAATAATAGATTTAACATTTTCATGTATACACCTTCTTAACATTCTGTGTGGAAAAAAAAATCTGATTTTTGAAAGCTTAGCCAATTCTTTTTTAAAGAATCTCCAATACGCTACTAAAAGTGTATGGCAAATTTTCTTTTTGTCCATATTCTCTTCAAATGAATCACATAAAAAGATAAAATCACAGATTTACAACTCAGACTGCCCTTAGAAGCTATCTAGTTCAATGACCATATCTGAGATCCTGCCCAACCCAAATCCACCTAATAACTAAAAATGTAGCCCTCATCCTTTGAGCTCATAATGAATCTGAAAAAATGTATAAGGTCTACTGCTTCTAGAAATGTGCACATAAAGTATCTTTACTGCCTGTAGTATTACAGGTATATCTAGTACCTGAGTTGTAATACATTCACTAACTTGTGATTCATGGCCAGTATTTTATTATTATTAGTAGTAGTATTTTGAGATCTATGTATAAATTCCTGGTTATCTAGCCTTGTTTCCTTTCTTGATTTGACATCCTGTTTTTAGTGGAAAATCTCTGCTAGTGGCAGCTACCACCAAATTGTCACAACCAATACACAGTTATGTGGGCAACTAGGTGGTGCAATGGATAGAGCTCTGGGTTGCTGTCAAGAAGACTCATCTTCAAGAATCTATATCTGGCCTCAGACACTTACTAGCTGTGTGACCCTGGGCAAGTCACTTAACCCTTTTTGCTTCAGTTTCCTCAACTATAAAATGAGCTGGAGAAGGAAATGGCAATCCACTCCAGTGTGTTTGCCAAGAAAACCCCAACATGGAGTCATGGAGAGTCAAACATGACTGAATAACAAATACACAGTTATGGAGCCGGCACATCTTTTCTCTTCACAGTTGGCTCTCTTTGGATCAAAGTCATCACTTGTTTGTAAATCTTTATCTTCGAATGGGGGCTAAGCCATAGCTATTCTGGTTTTCCTGCCAGTTTTTAGTTGGATCCTGATTTCTCTATACTCCGAGGCCTCTCAGCATTCCCAGATAAGCTTCTGTTCACCCAGAAAGTTTACACCAATTTTGACAATAGCACATTGAGAAAATGGGCCAGAATTAAGAGGAAAGATTTAGTTCTGGAGGAATGTAGTGGAAAGTATAGTTAGTAGGAAGGAGTAGAACCCTCAGAGTGAGGAGGATTCATGCTAATCCTGGCCCTGCTGTTGACCTATCATTTCTTCACTACATACTCTCCTCTTTCCTTCTGTTGCCATGGTGATAGTAATCTGTAAAATAGTTATTACCAGAATTCATGAAAACAAAGCTAATAGCTTTGAGTTCCCCAGAAAAAGGAATCAGTTGTAATTAAAATGGATTTCATAGTAACCTTGATATAATACAAGTATTACATAGGAAACAGAATTTGACTATGACTTTTTATCTGTTTCAGATTACCTGAACCCTGTGGAAGAGAATCCTTTTGTTTCTCGGCGAAAGAATGGTGACCTTCAAGCCTTGGATAACCCTGAATATCATAATGCCTCCAATGGGCCACAAAAAGCAGAGGATGAGTATGTGAATGAGCCACTGTACCTCAATACCTTTGCCAACACCTTGGGAAATGTAGAGTACCTGAAGAACAATGGCCTGCCTGGACCCGAGAAAGCCAAGAAAGCTTTTGACAACCCTGATTACTGGAACCACAGCCTTCCTCCTCGAAGCACCCTTCAACACCCAGACTACCTGCAGGAGTACAGCACAAAATATTTTTACAAACAAAATGGACGGATCCGGCCTATTGTGGCAGAGAACCCTGAATACCTCTCTGAGTTCTCCCTGAAGCCAGGCACTGTGCTGCCTCCTCCACCCTACAGACACCGGAACACGGTGGTGTAGGCCTGTCAGTGTTCCAGAACGGAGAGACATTCCCTCTCCAGTGTCCATGCGCCACTCCTCTTTGGTCCCCCCTCTCTTTCTCTTGTGGGCTTCCTCTACTTTCCAGGCCAGTCTTTTTGAGCTATCCAAACAGAAGCTGTTAAGGATGCACTCAGAGAATGAAAAGTCCTGTACTGTTCTCGTTTGGAACTTAGAATGAAGGAAAGAAAGAGAAAGACAGGAGGGACCACACTGTTTTTGGTTTCTCCACATGGGGAGGTCATGACAGAATGGCCAGGAAAGGACCAGTACGTTTCACTTGCCTGCTGTCAAAATAGTTCTTGATTTTTAAAACTCAGACATGATAGAGAAAGTCACATGGTGTCTGTTTCTATCAGCAGGAACTTATGAGCACATATTCAGCATTCCTGGAAATCATAATGTAGTTTCCATTAGGAAAAGGACAATTTTTTATATCACATAGGATAGTATAATAGTTGAGATTGAGAATCCAATTTCTGTAACAATTTCTATCCTGGCAACTAAAAATGGCTAACTTGGCTTTCATAACTATTTGAAGCTCCATCAAAGTTATAAGAAATAATTCTATGATTTCTTGTCTTTGGCCAGTCCTTTCATCTTAGCCCCTCTCCCAGTTTTTGGCCCTTTTTTTCTAATTGCAGAGATTTTACATTGATGCTTTGGTACATGTCATTAACATTTTTATGTGTTGAGATAATTTAACAAAATAGTTTAAATAAGAATTCCTCTTAGGATTGCAAAAACGGCAAAACCTCAAATACACATTTTTTGAGGCTAAAAAGAAGGCCAAGACATAAGATATATACAACCAAAATCTCATTTTCATGATTTATTGTAATAAACATGAGACTCGCAAACATAAAGCACATCTCGCAAAACTTTCACTGCTCCCTCCATTATTGATAATAGTTAAAAGGCAGTAGGCAATGCTGGGTCTAAGAGAGAAACCAAGAGACAGTTCTGCGTGGTTCATGAAAACTGCTGATATATTCAGGGGTGGCCCACTGAGTAATCTTTTAAACTGGAAGAAAAACACTGGATTGGGTGAACTTACATACCTGGCAAAATGCTCAGGAATGTAGTTTGCACTTAAGCTACAATTTTATTTGTTCTCATTCTGAACTCTTCTGGATTTTGAAAGAAGCAATATGGAAGTGACCAGCAAATTCAAATTATTTAAATATGTTTTTTTTTAAAGAGTAATGATGAAGAAAGACTGTGGAAATGCCAAACCAAGTAAATTACATCTTTGGAACAATATCCAGGGATTATGGGAAGGCCAAGCACATTGTCTATTTGTGACATCACAACGATGTTATGGAGAAAGGCCACCCAGTCCTCATGCTCCATATGAAGGAAATTGACATGAGCAAGACCTGAACTGAAGTCCATGGAGTGTCTAGTATTAGGACTATAGTTGTTGAAATAGAAGTTAACTCTAGCACATAAGGTGGTATAGTATGTAGAAGGTTAAAAAAAAATACAGACATGCATGGCTCAGAGGAATTGGGATTATAAAAAGTATAAATGATCATGATGATTTTTTTCCAAGCTTTGATTTTATTTTCTGACACACTGATCTTTTTTTTTAAACTTTTGCATAAAGTTTTATTTAACCATTATGTTAATTTAGAAAACCTTTGTATCATTGTGAATTTTAACACTACTAGATGTGAGATGGTGATGGGCCTAATGGCAGAAGTAAGAGCTTCAGATGCACTAGAAATGTTCTTCTTTGGGGTGTGAGTAAAAAAAAAAAAATCTACCTAAGATAAACGACTTAGAGATACATTCAAATCTAAAACCTAAGCAATTTCATTGAAAACTATCACTGACCTTTTAGAAGGGGTTTGGGGAAACCCCAGAGTAAAGGCCATTTTTCTATATAGTTTGTACAAGTAAATTGCCTTACAGTGGCCATTGAGTTCCTTTATTTGTACATATCTTATTGGACTCTTATCATTCAGGGACTGTTAACAGAGACTGATTTTTTTTTTGTCCTCTGTAATTTGGGAAGAGTACCTTATGATTTCATTCAGAGAGCATGGGTAACCAAGATGATGCTGCCAATTATATTAAATGCTGCCATTGCATTATGAACTAGGCTGGAGTGATATGGAAACCCTGTATAAATTGGACTGCCTGGACCGACAAATTCAAGAGGACTCAGAGCTAGTCTTATAACTTTGTCACCAAGAAATCAGCTGTACAAATAGAAATCCTAATGGTAATTAGGGGACTTTAGCCATAAACCCCAGAAGGAGAACAGTCAGTAGGGGAAAGTCTTTCCAAGCCATGAAAAAGAGTAACAGTGTCAAGGGAGGAATATAAGTCCTTCCAGAATAGCACCAGCAACTAGAGTGGCTTCCTGGAGGAAAGGAGTAAAATGAGGGAATCTTTAATAATTTAGGGTTTACTAGGGACATAGCAGCATCCTTCAGCCCATTCATTTGAATGGATCTCTTAAACAAAGAGAGTCTTCACAAAATGGGTTCTAGTATACTTTTTTTAAAATCATTCTGTCTCCAGGTAGTCAGTAATGCCAACATTTTCCTTATTCCCCTCTTTAAAAAAAATGTATCATATTTACATGGTATCTACCATAATAGTACTTGGGTATTAGGAAAAAATGGTGAAGAAAATGGTTACTTTGTGGGCACAAAATGAGGGTTCTGTTGAGGTGTGATAGGTAAGTGGTTGCTGAGAAGTAAGAGGATCTCAATCCCACTGCACCATTAAAAAGATCTGACCCTTCATGGCTCAGATAAACTTCAAGTAGAAGATGGACCAGTAGCATACTATATAATCCAAATTGAACTAAATAATCTACTTGATTATTTTCCCTTAATTATTCTAGCTATGTTCATGTTGTTTTTCTAAGAAACATATCTGGATGTGATATACTAGGAAGAGAGTGAAAATATTTCATTGGTTTCCAAGATGATGGCTTTTGGCTAATAGAGCCAAACAAAAAACTGCAGTTGGGATATTCATTGTTCTACAGGGGATCAGATTCCAGGGGATGGTTTTACTAATGGGAACTTTCAGATTCACTTGTGTAAATTTATGATATCTGAAAGTAAATTCCAAGTGAGTAAACTTTTCAAATCTACAAATCTTGTTTGTAGATAAACCTCCCTTGGGAAATCACATTTCCAGCAATGAAACAGCTTTTAAGATAAGTGGTTATTAACATGCTTAAGTAGTTCTTACATGGCAAGATACAGAGAAGCACACTGCCCCTGGACTGGGTTAGGCCCTAGCACCTGCAGAAGCATCTCAAAGAGGTATGTGTGCACATGTTTCCTCATGGAGATAATTCTTTCCTGGACTTCCCATTGGCATAAACAGAACTTATGGTTATGTGTTGAGCTTCTTTTAAATAGTAAATAATGTTGAATAGTAATTAGTCAAAGAGTTAAAAATGAAAGTCAGAGTTTAGTGTTTCATCTCATTCAGTGTAAATGCAAGAGGACCTAACATCAATCATCACACAGATAGACTGCAAAGCATAACATAGAACACATAGAATCCACTCATTTTTAAAAAAAAAATCTTAAGAAAGGACAGTCAGAGAGGTATGTGGTTACCTCTCTATTGTTGGAGTAAACCCAGGAAAAAGACCTCAGGGTCCTGCTGCTAAATGAAGCTGGATCATCTATCTGTTTTCTGGAATGTCAAGACTGAACAAAACATTTTTTTCCCCCTAAAGCTCTACAGGAAAAGATGTAAATACAAGTTTGCTCTAGAACTAACTCTTCTTTCAAAACTTGAATTATTTATTCAGTGGTAATTGTTGCTCATTAAACTATTTTATTCAGTTATAAGGCATTAGAAGAAATGGTCATGAAAGCTCATGAGGAGGCCCGTTTTGGCACTGGAAGGGGAAAACATTTTCTCTAAGCACTGGACAAGCAAACCAAATGAAATAACTAACCACAGAATACTTGATGACAAAACTAAGTTCAGAGGGAGAATTCAGGGTTGGCTAAACACAAGCAAATAACTGCTATCAGTATCCTTGCTTTCTGGTTAGAGCATTGAGAGCTATTTAAAGAGCTGAACTCATTGATAACTTGTTTTGTAGAATTTTTTTTGTTCTTTTTTAAGGTAGCATACTAAAAGATACCTTCAAACACTGAAAAAAAATATTTTCGACTCTTTTTTAAACCTTCCTTTAGACCTTTCTCCATCTTTTTTTAATTTAATATCATATAAAGCCAGTTAGGAAGTTAGGGAAGAGAATGTATCACCATCTCAATTAAAACTAACCTTTCATCACTAACCAAGAGTCAATTACAATAAAAAGTATCTCCTCTGGCATGTTGGGAGATGGAGAGGGTATGTGTGTATGTGGGGTGTATGGTATGTTACTTTAAACAAAATTTCACTCCCCCACTATCTTTGGTTCTTCTCCCTAAGACCTATTAGTGAAGTATGTATATTATTACTTGAGTGAAAACAGAATGTGAATGCACTCTCTCCTCAAAAATAAAAAGAAACAAAATAGTGAAATACAATTCCTACCCTCTACATTTCATTTGGCTTGAACACCAGGTATTGGATTGATAATTCATAGTTAGCAGTATCAGAAATGTTAGTGTTCTTCGGTTTTCTGAAAGGGAAAGTTACTGACAAAACCTCCCTGGGTATACATGGACGCTGATATACATACAGCTGAAGATCAACCCAGCACCGATGGGAGGTCTGCATGACAAGGATGTTGTACCCGTTGCTCAGGTGGAAATGACACTGGACAGATGATGATTAGCTGAAAGCATTATTTTAAAAAGATGCATAGCAAAGGAACAGTCCTTAGTATGACTAATATTGCAAAGGGGCCAGCTCTTTCCTATCAGATTAAGAATAAATGCAAATAGATCAGCCCCAGAGATACCTCAGTAAGCCTCTCCCTACAGTAGCAAACCTGACGTCTGATGTGTATTCTCAGGCCAGAAACCCTTCTGTTTCTGTGAGAAATTGTCGGTTAACACTGCCGGCTATTATATGTCTTTTAATTAAAAGAAAATATTTCATAAAACTGCAGAAGCTGCAGACAGCCTCATTTGTTTTTATAGAGCAGTGATAAAAATAGGACATCTTCTTCTCACATATGTACATACACACATACCACTCCTTGTCCCTGGCCAATGGTTATACTTTGGGCGGAACAAAATTTTCCCAAAGTCACGAGCTGAAAAAGACTCTAAGCCTCTATTTTATAGGAAAAAGTCAGTTTTACCTCCACAGGCTTCCTCTGGAATTCACTTTTGCTAAAATTAACTTGTCAAGTAAATGATCAACTTGCTAAAAATCACAGAACTTATTTCTACTAAGGAATCATTTGGTCTCCAGTTTTAAAGCTCCTTTTTCATTAAAAACAAAAACAAACAAAAAAAAAATCCCACCTTTTCCTGATAGCCAGAGTTAGTGGAGCTGATATATATTTTTATTCTCACAGGCCCTTTCTTTATACCACTCTATGACTCAGAACAAAACATCAACCGTTGTTTCCTTTCCTCTTGGAACCTCTGCCCATTTTCTGCTCACTTTCTCACAACCTGCTTTGTGATTCCTTTCTTGATACCATCCTTGAGCCCTGATGATTGATCCCTTATAAGCCATAGTGGGCCCTTAAGGTCCCGTACCTCACTTTGTGAAATACCGATTTAAGCTGTCCCCACAAACATAAGAATGAATTCTGCATTATGTAGCCAAGAGCTTTGGCCATGGTTTAGGGGTTTTGGTAGTTGTTGGGGATTTTTGTTGTTGTTGTTGTTGTTGTTTTGTTTTTAGCATTTCACCAAAAATTTCACAAAGTTACTGTGTGTATCTACTATGGTTAAGCTTTCCTGAAAGGTTAGATTCATATACCATATCTTCTGCATAGTAATGTTGGGTGGGAGGCTGGTCTTCAGTGAATCTTGCAACCCTTATAAATAAACACACACACACACACACACACACACACACACACACACACATACACACACACACACACACTGAGATTTAGTTTTCCCATTTAAAAAACAAAAGGTAATTGGAAGTTTGATTTTTTTTTTTTTGGCCAACAATTAGACTTCATTTCCCAATCATTCTTTTTCAGTATTTTTTTTCTTACAGGCCTCAAATTTTCAAGTGTTATTATATTTAACATCTTTGAAAATAGGGTCTAATGGAATAGCATATCTTTTGAAAAGAAAGATGAGGGGTGTATAGCATTGAAAGGCTAGTTTCTAGCTTCTAGTACTTTTGCCATCTTGCTATATGATCAAAATTCATGTTCTGTGATAGGATATCATTTTTCTCTACCTTTGTTCCTTCAAGGGCAGTTTCTCTTTTAATGCTCCAGTGAGCCTTATCCCAATAATCAAAAATGGTTCTTTTTCTACAAAGTCATTCTAAAAAGGGTAACAAAACAGGGAAACACACTTTTGTACCTGGAAGCACCCGTCTAACATGTCTCAAACCATTTTTGTCATGACTCTTATTTCCATTTCTAATGCATGGATATTTCTCTTTAACCTAGAATTCTTTTTTTATGTTTCCTATGACCTAAACACAGTTTTCAACATTGATTTGAAGTGTTTTCAATGAATAGGGTTTGCATATGCTCCCTTTTTTTCCTGAAGGGAGATTCACTTGCCCTGTAGCTTTCTGATCTCTCAGGGGCTTGAAGAAGGGAGTGAAGAAACACTACCCAAACCATAGCACTCTGAAGACTGACTGATACCTTTTGGGATAACGACAGTACCCAACTGGGAACATTA